AGTATCTTACATATTTTGCCTTTTGTGTATAAGTGGGCACTCCTCTTTTAATTTGATCATGTTGTTCTTTAGCTTATATGTTATGTAAATGTAAATGCATCCTCTTTACTGCAAGTCATCTTCTGTTCAATTGAAAAGATTATTGTGTTTACCCTCCGCTTTCTTCCATTTCGCTGGTCTATTAGGTGGATAGCATGCTAGGGAGACGAGAAAATCCTGGTGAGCATGAAGCAATGCGGAAAATGAAGAATGAATTCATGGTGAATTGGGATGGCTTGCGTACAAAGGACAAGGAGCGAGTTCTTGTACTTGCTGCAACTAATAGACCATTCGACCTTGATGAAGCAGTTATTAGGAGACTTCCACGGAGGCAAGTAATAATCGTTCAGTGAATCATTTTTTCTGATTAATCCGCAAATGGAAGGGGGGCTAAAGAAAAAGAGAAAATTTATGTTTTACTAGTTTATGTGGAGTCGTAATGTTAAGTGCTCTCCATTGATGCAGGTTGATGGTAAACTTGCCAGATGCTCCGAACAGGGAGAAAATTTTGAGAGTGATATTGGCCAAGGAAGAGTTAACGCCAAATGTTGATCTGGAAGCTATAGCAAATATGACTGAAGGGTATTCCGGAAGTGATTTAAAGGTCTGGTAGATGATCCTGTTGTTCTATATTAACTGACTTTGTAATGTGTTAGAAGTTTTAACACGCCAATGACTGGTCCCCCCCCCCCCCCCACACACACACACACACGCACACACCATTTTCTATGATTTCACAGTTCATGCTATCAACTCTTATATTTCCATCCACAGAATTTATGTGTCACAGCTGCTCATTGCCCAATTAGAGAAATATTGGAGAAAGAGAAAAAGGTCAGTTGACTGAGTTCACTCTAGTGGCTTTGTATAATTCTGGTAACCTTCCAATACATGGTTGAATTTGTGACTTTGATCGACATGTGAACGTGCTCTTCTAACTTCTCTCCACTAGCTATTTTCAAGAGTCCTTCGGAAATTACAAGTTACTTCCTCCATTCCATATTAAGTTAATTTTTGAGGCATTTTTCATTTTTCAAATTAACTTAATTGTTTAGTTTTAAGACTACTTTTAGAGTATTCTTCCAATTTTACCCTTCATTAGTTCGTATTGGAATTAGTGATTAATTAATATTTATTTATTTTAATCATAAATTTGACAATAATTAATAAGGGTAAAAATGGAATACTAGGTTTAATTTATGTCTTAATCTACTTTTCTTAAAGGGCGTGAAAGACCTCAAAAATTAACTTAATATGGAATGGAGGGAGTATCATCTTGTCTGACATACAGCCATTTGCTAGTCAAGTAACTGGAATGTAATTTAACTTGTATTATATCAGGAAAAAGCATTGGCAGTTTCAGATAGCAGGCCAGTCCCTGCATTGCATAGTAGTGTGGACGTTCGCCCCCTTAACAAGGATGATTTTAAATATGCACATGAACAGGTGTGTCGGCTTTTCTGATTATTAACATGGTACTTTATGCTTTCTTCCAACTGTCTTAAGCCATCTTGTTTGAATTAGTCAATGTTTTTTTCCTGAAAAGTTAATTAACTAACGAGTAAATTGTTTTCTCTCAACTTCTCCATATTTCCTATTGTAGCCTTTTGCCAATTGTCAATGTCTTATAGATATTATTAGGATTTACTAATAGCTACTATATATATACAACCTAGTGATACATTCAAAAAAATTAGTTAACATTAACTATACCTAGGGGTTTTATAGCAAATCTCTCCTCTCACGTTCCCCTTCTCTCTCTCTCTCTCTCTCTCTCTACAATTTATTGTGTGAATCTTTCTTCTTCTCCCTCTGTTGCTATATTAATACGAAATCCCATTAAAGTTCTACCTGATTTTTTTATCTATACATGTGGTTCTTGGTCTAAAATATTTTCTGGGTGGCTGCTGGCTGTTGATTCATTTTCTTATTGGATTAATGCTGGTATATCGAAATTATGATCTGTGGGTTCTTGTTTGTTGTTCAGTCTTCTCTTCTTCTTAGATTGATAAACTGATACACCTATCATTAAACTGTATGTTCTTCGATTGATACAACCAATTGTATCCATGCATAAAAAAAATTATATCTGTATGATGTGTATTAAAAAAAAAAGCTGATATCACTATCCTCAGAATAAACTGTATCTGTATATTTGTGTGTGAGATTGGAGGAGAGAGGAGAGAGGCGAGCGAGATTGGGAGAGAGAGGAGATTGTGTATCTCAGTTTCAATTAAGATATAGGTTGTATCCCTCTCTATCTCTCTCATTCTTGCTTTGCCTCTCTCCTCTCTAATATTTTTGCTATGAATTGTTACTAGGCAAACTATAGCTACTTTTCATAATTATGGTCCAAACTATAGTTATTTATGATTTTATTAAGCGCCAGATGGTTTCATAATATATATATTTGTTGGCGAACACTGGCAAAGGTTGAGGGACTTGTGATTTATGTCACAGGTTCAAGCCTTGCATCATTTGAGTGAAGTTTGGTATTTAGTGGAGTAGGGTAGAGGGGTGAGTCCATCATCCTTGATTTTCAGAGGCTGCGGTTTGTCCAAGGGTAGGCCCTTGAAGAATTTCTGGGTCATAAAAGAATTTTCTTGGTGAGGGCCTGAGGGGTGCAGATTGATAGTCATGTGTCAAATCTTGTCTATCTGTCACAATTCATTATATGCTGCCGATGAAGTAGTTTGAGAAGAACTTTTTGTGACTGAACAGAAATTTTGGAGATCACTATTTGATGAAATAGCTTGTTTCAAACTGGTGACTTGTATGTAAAAGTTGAAAAAATAAAAAAAATCAGTAGCTTCTCAAATTGATACATCTGTTGTTTCCTAGTCATCTTCTTTTCTCTTTAAACATAAGCAGAGTATGACAAATCTAGCAAATGAGGTCTAGCACACATCATCCTAAGACAACACAAGGAGATAACACTCATTTCTCAACCAACGACGTGGGACACTCTTAACATGTCCGCGCACCCAGGGCTGAACTTGCGACATGGTAGCCTAACACTAGATATGCGTCTAATGTGTCCCCATGTTAAGAAAATGGATCTAGGCCTAACTCATCTACAAAAGTTAGCTCATGAGTTGAGGATTTGTCCAAAACCTTGGAGAAAAACAAGAGCTATTCTTCCAATCAATGTTGGATCATTATCTAAAAGTATGGGACTTCGACTAAGATATATAATGCAGGTGAGTTTAAGTTGAACGTCCAATTATTTTGGCACCTTAACATCTTTGTGATAATCCAGGAGGCACTGATAATAAGAATCCACAGAGATTATATTAGTGGGTCGAGAAGTTAGGTTCATGCTGCTCATGTACCAGTTGTTAGACGATTGTTCATAGTGCAATGCCTCGTCTAGGCAAGTTGTAGACGATTGTTCATAGTGCAATGCCTCGTCTAGGGCGAGTCTAAAGCCATCACTTCTATAATGCTAAGCTCCTATGTTTTATCGTCATAGTTGCTGTGCTTGAATGGTACATTGTTGATGACCTCTCCTCCTACAGAAGATATCTTCATATCTGGATAATGATGAAATGGCATGTATTCTCTATTTTGATTTTGTTTTTAATGACTGCTATGATGTAGAAAATTCCATTTGTCTTCCTTGGCCTTAACCTATCCCTCTACTATCTTCTGCATTCTTAAAATGCATGTTCATGGAGTTTCCTTGGCTTTTATATAGGCATCTTGTTGCAAACTGGCATGTATTCTCTATTTTGATTTTGCTTTTAATGACTGCTATGATGTGGAAAATTCCATTTGTCTTCCTTGGCCTTGGCCTATCCCTCTACTATCTTCTGCATTCTTAAAATGCATGTTCTTGAAGTTTCCTCAGCTTTTATATAGGCATCTTGTTGCAAACTAGTCAATTTTGTTTAGCTCATGGGATTGTTCCTACAACCTATGTTGCTTGGACTCTTCAAAAATGTTGATGGGTGCGTGTCGGATCATCCAAAAAGTAGTGCATTTTTGGAGGATCTGATTCGGGTGCGGCAACAATTTTGGAGAGTCTGAGCAACTTAGCCTTCAACTGAGGCTCTGCCTCTGTAGTTTAAATAAAAAATCACGATTATCTGGTCATATGGCCTCCTGCACAGTGGTAAGGGTTTCTTCTTATCAAGCATAAATATCAGTATTTTTCGCTTTCCACGCTCTTCATTTCCATTAGATGCCCAGCCACATGGTTTGTTGTTACAGTTTAGCTTTGTTCGGAAGATTAATGGTTGTGTATCGAATGATGGGAATGAAAATGTTTCAAGTATTAGTAGCTCGTCTGTTTTAAGCACATTGAATAGCATGCATTCATGAAGGAGAGCTCATGCAAGCATTGTTGCATGTTAAAAATGCAGGTATGTGCTAGTGTATCTTCAGAATCGGCAAACATGAATGAGTTACTCCAGTGGAATGAATTGTATGGAGAAGGTGGATCAAGGAAGAAGAAATCTCTCAGTTACTTCATGTAGAGACATGTGAAGTGTATAGTGTTGCTTTATTTATTTACCCAAGTTGGTAGGGACGGGTCCTGCATGCATGGAAATCCATTTCAGGTTCCCTGGAGTCCAAACCCCCAACCGCGGAAAACTGTGTATCATAGTTAGTTAATAGTTATGAAATATCTATCTATCCGAAGCTTGTCTTCCAATTTTCACCTTATTGGATCTCCTCTGTATATACAATTTGATTTATTTAATAAATAAACATCCCCATGCTCTTTTTTGTTTTCCATTATTATTAAGATTCCTCTGTTGAATGTTGTGAAATTTATTCCACCGTAGCATTGCATTCCAACTTTTTTTTTTTTTTAAAAATATATATTATTTATAAATAAATGAGCTCTAGAGTCTGAGGGCCTGCCCATTTAAGTTTGGGTCGGCTGTCACCACAAAAAGAGTTTGGTGGCACACCTCAACCCATCTATCATATGTTGTGTTTAATCATAGTCTTGATTACCTACCTAAAACAGAACAGTGTGAGTGAACAAATATAATAGGACATAAAGGTAATTGATTGATTGTTGAACAAGTAGAGACGGAAAATACAAATTTGTACAACTAGAACCTTCTGGCTGCTAATAAGACAGACTAGTAGATCCAAAGTGTAATCGTAATGGGGGAAAAACCGGTGATGGTGGTGGGGCTGGATGACAGCGAATACAGTTTTTATGCATTAGAGTGGACTTTGGAACACTTGTTTAGATCTTCACCGCCTCCTTTCAAACTCCTTATCGTTCACGCCAAACCTACTGCTACTTCTGCCATCGGCCTCGCTGGTCCTGGTATGTATGTATGTATATATTGTATGCAATCAGGTCAGCTGCTGAGAAAATGAATTGAATTTGCAGGGGGTGCCGATGTTTTGCCCTATGTGGAGGCTGATTTGAGGAAGATCTCTTCAAGGATAGCCGAAAAAGCTAAGAAGATTTGTTCTGCTAAATCGGTATTCAAATTTGTTCGATACATATATATTCTTTTCCATTCTTGAAGAAATACTAAGTGATTAGCGATCTTATCACTTGTAAGTTGTTTGTTTTCAGGTAAACGATGTTGTAGTTGAGATTGCGGAAGGTGATGCTAGGAGTGTCTTGTGTGATGCAGTGGAGAAGCATCATGCCTCTATGTTAGTTGTTGGTAGTCATGGTTATGGAGTTCTGAAGAGGTAGATCTCTATCTTGGGAATCAATATTACTGTAACCCATTCCATTTTTATTTAAAATAATATTCCAAAGGTCTTGAAATCTTGCACTCTCCTTTTTTCCTGCAGGGCTGTTTTGGGCAGTGTAAGTGACTACTGTGCTCACCACACTCACTGCAGTGTGATGATTGTGAAGCGCCCAAAGATCAAGGCTTGAGATTTGGTTGATGCTGTGTATTTATATAATTCCAATAATAAATAGAGTAGATTTGGAAATTGGAGTAGCTAGCAATTTTCACAAGTCTACGCACAAAATTTGTAACAAAACATAATAGCTTGGGGCCGTCTCAAAAGAAAATTAGTAAATCAGAAACAAAAAGCTCCTATCAGTAGTTTTATTTGTTGATTTTTTTTAGCGGATGGATGGATGGATCATATCCATCTTTGTCCTTGTCCTAAGCCAAATAGAAAAACCTTTCAAAGAAACAAAATTACTTTGCGAAATTGATGATTCAATAACAATTGGAGTACTAGTATATTTCAATGTTTAAAAATGCAGATTAGTAGTGTTATTTTTAAGGGATTTCGAGAATATGTTATTGGCCTCGAAATCTAATTTGAGAGCCTCTTCATTCCAAGTTTTCTACTTTGCTTCCTTCCTTTTCACTTCTCTGTTAACTACTTTTACTCTTCATGCGCATACAACATATTTTTAAGTTTATCACAACACTAGAGAACAAAGACGATTGTTAGTCTCATGTCCAGAAATTGAGATTAGGAGTAAAAAGTTTTTAAAAGAGATTCCACAATATCTAGAATTTACTCCCAACAACGCAACTGTAGTTCAACCAACCAACCAACCTATAATCAACACCAAGCAACTGTGCACTAGAGAAAACGCTTCGTAATTCATATGTTAGGTTTATTTCCCCCAACAGATAAACTAATGGCCAACAAATCAACATCATAAATCTTGTATCAACTTCAATTTACTGAGTTATGTCTCCCATTCGGTGAAGCATACTGCTATCCCACGCTCCTTAGTCAACATGAAATTATTAGCAGTTTGGAGTGTCCAATTCCCTACTGCAGACTATTTTAGTTCCTTCTCAACAAATCAAAGCCAAAGTTTATCGGGAGTCCTCAGCAACATGACATAAGAGACACACGAGACCTGTTGCTCCAGCAACCTGCTTCCAGTTTCGGGTACCTGCACCAAAAGCAGCCCCTGCTACAACACCAGCAGTCAAAACATTAACCTGCAAAAGTCAATGGGATCTTATAACTTTTGTGGATAGTAATAAGTTAATAACCGTGGCTTACAACAACACAAACTCAAGTAGTAATAAAGTGAAAAAGGTACTAGGAGAAAAGCTTATAAACATTGTGTCATCCAAGCAAATGTAGATTTTTTATTGGATCAGTGTATGTTAATAAGTCTTTAGTTAGCACTCCCAGAAGAATATGCTATTTTCATGATTTCTGTTTATAGTAAATGTTGATTTCATGTGGCAAACAAGGTTTATGTCTGCTGTTCATACATTGGCTGGCTGCAAAACATTACCTTCAATTGGTCACGTATATAGAAAAAAGTTCAGAGATCATAATATCTTGCACACCCATATAAAGTACTAAGATATCACTTTATTGTATCAGTTGACCACAGTACTTCACAGACATCCAAATGAGCTCAGGTTGTTCCTGATGACTGTCCAATGCATTTCCTGAAATTATTGCTATTACATTTGGACACATCTACGAATTTCAGCAAATTATTACTTAACATGTTGTCATATTGGCTTCCTAACGAGAAGAAACAGTAACTAATAACTGTAGTCTCTCAAAATCTGTACTACACATTAAAAAAAGAATTAAAAGGAAATTATTCTAATTTCATATATATTGCATGAAACTATAATCTGACAATGGAGGAGAACATATATTCCTACTTACCCATCAAAATGCATAAGACCTCGTGGTGCTAATTAATTATGCCTACCAACTGTTTAGCCCCAAGCCCCCAACAAACAACTTGATATGGTAAATAACAAATATGCAAAAAGTATTGGAAGCAACGTTTGGATATACATATTCTTAGTTAAACAATAGCGTGTTTTACATGTTTAGACAAAAGCGGGTCAATAAAGGAGGGTCCAAATTAATGTTTGAGATTTGAGAGGGCACGTGTTAACAAACTGACCCAATCATTTCGTCTTCTATATCTCTGAAACCCACACCGAGTGGAAGAAAATATAGCAGCAAACAATCCTAAAAAAGAAGAATGAATGCTCATCAGATCATAATGACATATCTATACAACCATGACATTATACAAGAGAAAAATTAGTGAAAAGAGCAAAAATAAGTAAACAATAAGGGTTGGTGAAAAAACTAGGAAAAAAAAATAGTTGGAGACAACCAAGTCTGACTATGAGCATTTGATATGCCTTTGCAATAGAACAAGCTTAATTTTACATAACATCATAACAATAAGCATAAAGAAACTGAGATAGTACGTTCTAAACAGACTTTTATGAAAGTAGCCTAGTGTTGCATAGTCTTTGATTGTAATCCTGTTCATTATCTTAATTACATTTCTTATTAAGCTGTTTTGTACCATCACACAGGTACAGATAACTAGCAATTTGACTTTTAACATTGCCACTTCTTGGTTATATAAACTAGCTTATTTCTCCACGGTTTATTAGGTTATGGTTCACATTGTGTGGTGCGTTCAGATATGGATGCTATTATGATACATCATAAATACAGCTTTTAATTTTAACCACTGGTCAATGATTAAATTGACTCCAACCTAAGTTGCACAGACTCTTCACTTTCATTGCCGCACCGTGTAGGATTCTCTAAAAATACACTACTTTTGGAAAATCAACAACACCGGCTAACATTTTTGAAGAGTTCGAGCAAGATAGGCTCCAAGTAACAAATAATTGACTTAATATCACACATCGGAATGTGGTCCACCAAAAGCACAATGCTATACAGATTGGTCTATATAGCAGTGTAATAGCATGTTACTTGTATAGCATGCCATTTACCATCTTATTTTAGTAGTATGATTAATCAGTTGTAGCAGATTATTTGATAGATCATCATTCATGCTTAGTATAAACCCTACTGCAATTGACACCACTGTTCTTTACATGTATATAACTTAAATCTAGATTAATATAGAGGAGACAAGTTAAGGAATAGGGAAAATACTTGGTTAAGTCAAAATTAGATTGGGAAAGTTAATGTGATTACCCCACTGAAAGCCAAGCCGACCAACTGACTTAGCCTGCACACAAAACAATCGAATTAAAACAAAGAGAAAAGAAAAAAAAGACATTGGAAAGGGATTGCAATGAGCAACTTACAATAAAAGAAGCTCTATTAATGCCAGAAAGACCTGTTCGCATATCATCAGAATAATAAATAGATACAAAATTTTGATCTTTCTATCAACAGTTGCGAACTCTACGCAAAAAAATAAATAAAACTAGTACCTAATTTATTGGCGTCGTAAGGACCAGAACAGGAGCCCCAGATTAAGCCAGCCTACAGTAATAACAAGTTTAAGAACATTTGGGTTTCATAGAGAGAAGACTGAAGAGGAGTATGAGGAAAAGATTACGGTGCCCATTCGAATAACGGAATCGACGGCGATGGAAGAACATGGGATGTCGTCGGCGATATCCACCTCCATCTCCCTTTCAGCCTTGAGGTGACCTTCATGTAACACTAACACCAATCTGCTGGGCCTTTTAGAGGCCTCTTTACTATAAACGGAAATTTAGGAAATAAGATTGGAAAATTTCATATATATAGCAAACTTATTAGATTAAATAACATTATATGGGTATAATTTATTTAATTACTTTATATGAGTATAGTTTAGTTATTTTAGGTATCTATAATTTTATATATAATTTTTTTTAATTTATACAATTATATTTTAAAAAGTGGTTTATAACTGAAGCGTTAAATATGCTAACAATAAATTTAGATAATGCCACAATTTTAGGGAAACGTCCCTTTTTTTAAGCTAAACGTTCAAATTCAAAAAAAAAATTCTGTATATATATATATATGAACTTACCTTTTTTGTATATTTATATATGTACATGAATATATTAGTTAAACGTGACATTATATACAAGTTTCTAAATGACTTTTTATATACTCCAATAATATATAAAGTTAATATATACTAACTTCAATAATTTGTATATAACTACTACAATATACAAATTATAATCGCATATGATATTTTCCCATCTATATAATTAAATCCAATTACTTTGTGTACATATGTATATAAAAAAAATAATGAGCCTTTAATATACAATTCCCTACTACCAGCTATTAAAACAGACATGTACATATCAATTTTTGTATATGTATATAAACTTAATATATACTAACTTCAATAATTTGTATATAACTAATAAAATATACAAATTCTAATCATATATAAAAAAAATCCATCTGTATAACTAAGTCCAATTACTTTTTTGTATATATATACAAAAAACAAAAATAACATAAATATGCAATATACTATATACAATTACTAAACATGAAATTATACTATATACAATACTTAAGTAATATTTTTTGTATATTGACATCTAATTAACCAAAAAATTGTATTTAACTTTGTGTTTTAATACAGTATCTCATGAATATTATGTTCTTTAGATCCGACAACTTCAGAAGCATTTTCCTCTGATTCAATGTTTACAGCTTTCCTCTTTCTTCTTCCTTGTACTATTTTAATGCCTCTAGCTTTGGCATTGTTAATAATTTGTTGAACTGTCGTAGGGTCGTTTTTTTCCTTTGATCTAAGCTCTTCCATTGTTTGTTCTTGTATAACTTGATTTGATTTTCCCAATGACCCTACATCAAACCCAAAATCTTGAGTTAATCCCATTGAAAACGATGGTAAAATGTCAACAATATTGACATGCAAAGGAATACCTCTGGTAATCCTCAAAGATGAAGATGATTCATTCATTGTGTGACCAATTTTAGATCTATCAAGAACAAAAAATCGATTATTTCATCAAAATATATGAAAAAAATAATAAACAGAACACATATACAAATTTTGAATAAGTAAAAAAAAAAGAAGAGGTAAAAAACTAAAATTAAAGAGTACTTACGAAATTGACTTCAACTTCGGGAGGGAGTAATCTAATTTTGGACAACAATTTGAATTTCAAACCGGATAGCTGGAGTATTAAATGTAGGAGAAAAATTTGGAATGTGAAAAGGAGAGAGAAAATTGTTGTGTATAATTATATACAAAATTAGAAAATAATGTTTTTATACCATTGGTTATATAATAGGTTGTGGACCCTATTAAATATAGCAAACAAAAATAAACTATAACTATATAAGGTAAATAAATTAAACTATACCCCTATAATATAATTAGCTATGAATGTTTGCCATCCCATGTAATTTTCCCAAATAACATCAGTTTGAGGCCTAATCTGAATATTTTATACGAAAAATTATATGAATAAATATATCTTTAAAAATAATTACTGATTTTAGCGATATTTTTTATTTATTATCATTTGTAGTAATATTGTGATAAATCTGTAATATGTATTAAAAATGAATTATGTATGCAATATATTTTGAGTTATAATTGTTTTTTGAATATATTGTGTTTGTTTGGTAAAAAAATTTCACATTGTATTATAAGTGTATTAAAATGTGTGATAAATGTATTATTCATCATTAAAACTTATATTATATTTGAATAATAAATTTATCTTTGTAATATGTATTAAACTTGTATTATGAGTGAATTAAAAGTGGTCAAGTGAAAAAAATGTTATTGCTATAAATGGTAAATATTTTTTTATTATAATATATTTATGTAAGTTTCTCAATATTAAATTGTTATAATATTTCCAATTTAGGTTGTGATTTTTATGATTGAATTATGACTTTTTTAGTAAGCTGCAATTTATTTTAAAGGTTTGTAATTTTTCCATGAGTTATAAAGTTGTGACTTCTTTTTCAATAAGTTGTGACTTTTTCAAAGGGTTATAACTTCTCGAAAAGGCTATTACATTTCAGAGAAGATACAAAAATACATTTGTTCATAATACCATTTGTTGATTATAAATAGAGAGACTTCTACTATTTTTCAATCACAATTTTTTTTAATATTCTACTTTTTTTTTCTTTCATTTTAAATTTTTTTGTGTGATTTATTAACGTTGAGTGAGTTCAAAGTTTAGCGAAATATGACTACCATTATTCTAAAAGGTAAATCGTTCTATTCTAAGATTGTATATTCCATGACCTCAAGTACTTGAGGAAAATAATTATGATGATATATAATTATTTGTTTTTACTTAATATATACATTAGTACGTAATGCTCCAATATATGAAGTTAACATGATGTAATCTAAATTCATTTCTCGTGATGCATATATATATACTTTTGAATAATTTTTTCCAAAATTATTAGACTTTTTAAGAGTTAGATAATTGTCACGATTTGTGTTTCTGATGCTCAAGACAAAGAATGTGTTTATTTTTAAAAAAAAATCATATATTTATATAAAAGATAACCCTAGGCCTGCCTACGTGACACCACCACAAGCAAGAATTTCCTTTTAAATTTATTTATTTTCAAAACTAGCCATCGTCTTTCATGAAAAGATGTGACTTTTATGACAAGTTAGGACTTTTATGAAAAACTGTGACTTTAATAAAGAGTTGTGACTTTTATCAAAAGTTGTGACTTTTATGAAAAATTGTGACTTCAATTAATAGTTGTGACTTTTATGAAAAGTTGTAGCTTCTATAAAAAGTTGCGATCGAATGAAAAGTTGTGACTTTTCTAAAAGATTGTGAACTTTCTGAAGGGTCGCAACTTTTCCAAATAGTTGTAACCTTTCTGGTGAGGCACAATAAATAGTTGTTTACAGTTGCCTTTGTTTTCTATCTTCTCATTTTAAAATAACAAAAAGTCTGATGTTCTTCTTCTACTTTCGCAAAATTAAATATTTGTGTACTATGCTCCTATTGAGTGACTTACTGACACCACATATTGTTTTTGTATCAATATGTTGGTGAATAAAATTGTTCTATCATGAGAGGATGTAATTCTTTGAACTTATGATTTTTTAGGGGAATAGTTTTCTTAAATGGACATTGTGCATTCAGTTTATTCGATTTTTCCTTTCTATTTCATTATATTTTTACATATTCTGGTATATTCTTTTAAACTCATTAATTTATGCTTATGATACTAATTATTGTTTTTGAGTACATGTTTTAAACTCTGTTTTTATGTTTGTGCAAAGTTATTGTCTCTGATTATATTGAACATATATGCATATAGTATGTATATTCATTATAAAGAAAACAATTCTTGTACTCAGTTTAAAGAATTTATGTTTTGACATTTTATATCAAATTTTATGACGTAAAATTGCTATATATAAGCTTGCATATTGTCTATTTTTACATAGATATGAAATTTATCACTTATCAATTGAAGCAATTCATTATGCAAGTTCAAAAATAATAATTGCTTTCATGTTGAAGCATATTTTTTTCCTCTAAATATGTCAACGATTTTGAAATTTTCTCCTAAGACATATATCACAATTGTATAATTTATGCAACTTAAATATTTCTTTATATTGGTAAATGTCTTATATATATATATATATATATATATATATATATATATATATATTCTTATTTTCTTCATTATTTTTGTTTTAATGTTGATTAAAGATTTCATAATTTATTATTTCGTGTATAATCATTCATTAGAGGTTCCCGACTTTTGGTGCTCGGCTTTAACTTATGGGCAATTTGACACTTAGACACAAACTTTGCTATGTCCCTTTTTAAACCGCTCCCCCCGTGATTATGACAAATAATCAAATTCATGTTGAATATTGCTAATATTTTTTAAGAACCTATTTTCCCATTACTTTTAATGTATGGATATTGGTAAAATAATTAATTGCAAATTAAATATAATTTTTATTTTTAATCGCACGAAGCGCGGACAAATTACCTAGTTGTATATAATGACAAACTATTAATTCAAATTAATTGTTTTAACTACAGTTTGATTTAATTGTGCCCATAGCAAACATGTTGTTAGTCGCCTCTCTCCCTTAAACTCTCGCTCGTCACTCTCCCTCTCTCGCTCGTCACTCTCCCTCTCTCGCTCGCCACTCTCCCCCTCACCTCTCTCGCTTTATACAAACAGAAATGTATAAATTGCATTTTTGTTTGTATAACGCGAGAAAAAATTGTATATATACATGCAAATATATATATCTTCGTCTTATACACTTACAATTATACAATACAAATATTTTTCTATCCCATTTTCTTTTGTCTTTCTCTCTTTGTCGCTTAATAAAAACACAAATTATACAAAATATAATGTATAATTTATGTTTGTGTAAAGCGAGGCAGAGAACGCTTTGATATTCTAAACATTGTATTTCGATTCAATTGTATATAAATTCAAATTTTATACAAATATACAAATACATAAAATTGAATTGAGAGGATGAAACGATTTATACAAATGAGTGACTGACGACAATTTATACAAATGGTCTGCTAGCGAAATTATACAAATCTAAAGAGGAGCCAACGAATTATACAATTATTTCTTCAGCCACTGCCTTTTGTATATGTGTATAGCGAAAATAGCATAGCAAAGTTTTGTTATGGAGTATAATTATGCAAACTATAGTTAAAACATACAAATGTGATTTTGTGTTTGCTATATATGAAGTTGTTCATTATTTATCAATTCTAATTATGTGATTTAGATTGTCAGGAAATTTGCTTCAAAATAGTTATTACTATATAAACATTTCCATTTTGTTTTACTTATTTAGGGGAAATGCATAAATACCCTTAATCTATGCTCGAAATCTCAAAGACAAATCTATATTATATTAAAGTCCTATCATCCCCTAAACTTAGTTTATAAATAATTTTCTACTCCTTTTCGATTTACGTAGCACTAACTTGAAAAAAATGTCAACACACGCTTGACCTACAAGATAGTGTACATGTACACACGTGCGTGTAATCCACATGGCATTATTTAGCTAATATTGCATATATATATATATATATATATATATATATAAATTTATTACGGTACTTCCACTTCTCTTACAACTAAACCCCTCTTTCACTTTTCTTCCACATCTGTCCAAACCTACATTTAATCCCACATCATAAGTTATAACCCTTTGATCTCTACGGAAATCAAAAGGGTTTTAACCTAATAACGGTTCTAGTAAGGATCTACTTTTTTATTTCTTTAGTTTGTTAGGTTCAAATTTTAGTTTGAAATTTGCTAAGCTTAGTTTGCTGTCATATTTTGTTCATCTCGTTAAACATCGTCTTCAAATGTTAGTATCTTCTTCGATTTGGATATTGCCAAGTTCAATTGTGGTATTTTTTAGACGTTTAAGAAGAAAAAATAATATTTTTAATCTTATTTTATGAATCAAAATAAAATAATATGAATTATGTACAAAAAGGTATGGAACTTTTTTCTAATAAATATTCTTATATTTTTAGAATTGAAGAAGGGATAATTGACCTTAAGGTTAACATTCATTTACATTGATTATTAATAAAACTCATGAAATATTACTTTAAATTAATACAATATCTATAAAATGTTATTTATAGAGTTGTTGTTGATCTCTATTTCATTTAAACTTTATAACTTTTAGGGAATGGCTTTATAATTGGTTCAATTGAAAAACCAAAAGAAAAAAAAAACACTACGGATTCATTGTAGAATGGAAGTGTTTCGAGGCAGAGTTCATTTTTTCCCCTTTTCAACACAGAGCACATATTTCAGCATTAGAGCTCGAGCAAGCTTCAAGGTTCAACAAGAAAATGACCCTTTTTTCCAGGCCGCCATTGAACGAGCTTCACTTCGTTTCCGGGAGTCTCAATCTCCAGGCAAATCCATTCTTCAATTTTCTTAGCTTTGATGGCGGGTTGTTGAAATTGAAAAGAATCACTGCAGCAAATTCGATTGAGTTGCTAGGTTCAAGACTTAATTTTTGCTTTTGCAGATCCTCTCCTTATTGACCCTTATGTCGCCTGCCTTCTTCCTTGTAATAGTCTCGAAGACATGGATCAACAGCTGCACCCATACTGTCTTGCAACTAAGTTTATTGATGACAAGTTGCTTGAAACAATGCAGTCTACT